TGGGTGTGGGTGTGGGTGTGAGGGTGTGGGTGTGGGTGTGGGTGTGAGGGTGTGTGTGAGGGTGTGGGTGAGGGTGTGGGTGTGGGTGTGGGTGGTGTGTGTGGGTGTGGGTGTGGGGTGTGGGTGTGGGTGTGGGCGTGCTTGAAGAAAAGGTCCACGCCTTCACCACACATCCCACACCCACACCCACAGTGCACACCCACCCACACCCTTATTCAGCCGGATTTCTTTTTTTTGTACCAGTCTCTGTATAACACTTTACGTTCTCGACATGCATCGGCGCTAAAATTTTCCTTGAAAAGAAAGAACTGTGTCTTTTCGCTTGCTTGAAAAAACCAGCCTCGTTACAGTTTCACATAGATGCTCACGCATTTTGCTTGATCCGAATTCATTTTCGTTTACGTATAAAACAGAAGGCAGATCGAAGAGTTCAAATAAAAAATAAAATACTGCGGAATATGTTGTCGAGGAACGCCAATAAGGGATTCGCTTTTTCTCCTCTTTAATTTTCATTTTTTTCGTATCATATAACATGAGTAAAAAAAAATGAGAGCTTAGCAACTAATACGAGGCAGCTACCAGCAATTACACACTTCTCGCTTAATCGTCTTCTTTTTTTAATTATATATTTGTGTTTTTTTAAAGACTGTTATCTACGATACACTTTCAAAAAAAAGGTATTTATCCAGACTTTTCTTCGTCTCTCGATCTGAAAAAGGTTTCGTACCAAAGATTTCTTCCTATGTGTGATACACATTTTGTTGAGTTTTCTTTTTATCACAATATATTCTTTAGCAGACGACGTCTAGATCACATCTCAGAGAGAGCTCACAGCAGCGTCTTTACACTTGCAGTGTAGGTTTCACAAATATTAAATGTAGTTACATGGGATAAAACATACGCATTTACAAAAAGAAATTGAAGATAAGTATTTGTTCAAACTACAAAACAACATCTACTTATGATGAGTTTTGCATCATCCATCGAGAAAGAGAGAAAGAGCGACTTAGCCGTTGCTATGTGATGCCCTTCTTTATATAAATGTGTCTCTCCATTCATTCGAAGACATTCATGCGACAACAACTCCTACTCTGTTGGGCGAGCGTTTTCGCTCTGATGGTGCTTCCATCGGAATCTGCACTGAGTTCTGGCTGTGGAAAATCTCTGCCAAGTGACTTTTCTGCGGGTCAAACGACATCAATAAGAGTTCCCGCGGCAAATGGTCAACCGGTTCGTCACTACAAGGTGCACCTCTCAGCCAACTTTCAAAACAACCGAGGGCACGCTATTGTCTTCTCCTTTCATGGCCACAATGGAGATATGGATAAACAAGAAGATCTATCTCAATTATCTCAAAAAGGTCTACTTATCGACGGTGCGGGAATCATAGCTGTCTACCCTAAGGGAAAGCTGGGGACGGATGGGCAGACTGCTTGGCAAGGTGCACCATATTCTGCTCCCGATGTAGATGATGTGAGTTCTTTTCGATCCTCTTCCACTTCTATTCAGAAAGAGTTAGTAATATAGATTGCTTTTGTGAACACAATGATCTCCACACTTCAAAGTACATTCTGCGTCGATTCGTCTCGAATCTATGCAACCGGCAAGAGTAATGGTATGTTGTAGATTTTACTATTTATCTGAAGATCAGATCCTTTATCCAAATGTAACAAATATACATTCCCTTGCCACTTCGTCGCGACTATACAAATTGGTTTTAAAAAGAACCACTCAGCTCTTTTCGGTCCACACTTCTTTGGTTACTTAATATTCAGTGAAATTAGTGTGTCAATCCGTGGAATTTCTATCACCAACGTCAAACATTTTTTTAGATATGTTGTGTAGCTCTCTCCAGAACAAACAAAAGAGAGCGTTAAGTTTATCTGTTGATTGTTTTGGGAACATCCTCTCTCGGACGGATTTTGTATTGCATGCCTATTTTCAGTGTAAACGAGAGAGAGAGCGAGTTCCACCTTTATCCCATGATGACTATGCTGATGCGTTTTTCATAACTATCTAAAAAGATGAAAGTTTATTCCGATTATGCAAGTAAGTGACCAAGTTGGATGTAGCTGTCATCTATAATGAATGCGAACAAGTTAAGTCGGATTAGCTCTGGTCCTCTCCTGTTTTTTTTGAATGAAAGTTCACGAGACTCTGCCACAGGTTCAGAAAGATTCTTTATAGTGACTTTCAGTATTTGACATCAGTCACAGGGGTTGGGAAATCGTGAAACGAAAAAACCAAAACTTGCTTCTATCGTGCAGCCTACCGGTCCGACCCACTTATGAGTACGCCTGATTCCTCATAGAAGAGAGTTATACCTGGTTTGGTCACTAATTCTCATACGCTGATTAAAATTCGACTTTTTTCTAGATAGGTAAAAAAATATTTCAAAACTTTCACACGAAGTAGTAGACGCTCTATGGATTCACGCATTGTGAAAATTATCGTTCCCTTAGTGAGTAGTTTTCAAATTCATTATCTAAGCAAACGCGTCACTGAGATATACATGACGACTGATGAATGAAGGTCTTCTCGGCCTTAAGAAGAAAAAAGTCGGTAGCTTCAGCTGAACAGAGGAAAAAAGATCCTTGGAACTGATATTTGAACATGGTTTCTAAAGAATGATGATTTTTAATAAAAACCCGGCTTTGTGGTTGGATGCATACAATGTTTTTCTCTTCTGTCATAAACACATTCTCTGTAAGTTATTGCTTCTTTGCGCAAACGAAATTTTGTCCTCTAAATTGACTCTTGCTTATTGAAAGAAAGAAAACTCTACTGTATGTGCCAAAACAATTTATGACCCTAGTCAACGAAAGTCAGTTTTCTACAAGATTTTTTTTCTGTACCTTCAAGTGAAAAAAGCCATTATACAAGGCCTTGTCATTCTTTTCCTAAACACTCCCTGTCGTAGTGATAAGCCGAATTCAACTGCACAGGCCAAAAGAGCTCGGAATCCCGACTTTTTTTCTGAAAATTCTTCCGAGATTTGCAAAATATATGAAAGCTGAATAATGGTTTTTGGAACTGTCTAGGTGCAGGATTCGTCAACCTCCTAGCTTGTACACCATGGATAGCTGCAAAGTTTGCCGCCTTTGCAACTGTCTCAGCAGCTTTCTACACGACTACTTTCAACGGAAATTGTCCCACTCAACGTGCCATACCCATTCTCGACTTTCACGGTACTGCAGACAGTGTGGCAGCATACAATGGTGGACAAGCACACGGTGCGCCGCAGGTCAGTGTTAACAGTTTTCGACAAGGATGGGCATCACGCAATGGATGTCAGGATAAAGCGACAATCTCTCATCTATCGAAAGAAACAGATCCTCAACAACTGGTTGAAATTCAAACGTGGAACACGAACTGTAAAGCAGGTGGTATTGTTATAGGATACAAGGTCACTGCAGGGCAACATGGATGGCCTCGTACAACATTACCAGCAAAATGCAATGGAAAGGTGGGAACGAATGATTGTACTACCACTGTGTTTGATGCTACATCGAGTGTTATCATTCCTTTTTTCAATAAGTATAGATTGTAGTTTAATAAGGGATGAGGGTGAGTGTACTAATGAAATTAAAGAGATTAAAAATAATAAATCATAACACTTGTCCACGAAAGTACACATGAACATGCCTTAATAAGTATGAAGGATTCGCTAAGCAAAGATCATGAAATCAGAACAGGAATTGAATTTACATCTTTCAATATGCGGTCGGCTATTCATTAGAGTTAGTGCTTCTTTCTATCGGTTTTCGAATCTAGAAATATAAATCAAAAAACGCAGCAAGATGGTAGTATTGTTGATTATATTTTTGTAATTTAATTTCATAAACAGTCAAAGAGACATGCCACCACTGTCGTTTTGCTTCTTGTCTTATTTTATAACGTTCATCGTTTAACTGAAGATTTTTTGACCATTGTTCAGTCGTGAATAGGTGATAAATAGAATAAAAACTATATGGTAAAAATTGACATAATTTGCGTATTTCTAGTTGAAGGAGTTCTTCCCTAATTTCTCATTGTTTTCCTGGTATGGTTTCCTCGGCTGAAGGAAGGGTCCTATGAAGAGAATATAATAGTTTGTGTGCATGTGTCAGGATCAAAGGTCAAAGGTAAAAAAACAGTATATGTTCTGCTGTCGGATAAAACGTAAAATCGTCAACATGTTCTGCGACGAACTGACAAAACCATTTACGACTGGCTATTAAAAGATAGTTCAATCTAATATAAAAGGTGTCATATTCCAATAATTTATCGTAAAACGTCAGTAAATGTGCAGGGACAGATCGTGCGTTTGAAGAGGAGTTCAATCTTAGACTATTGTACTCTCTAACTCGGAAAAACGAATCTGATTTTCTTCTTATCTGAAACCCTTTAAGAGTTTAAGAATAAATGGCAAGCACAAAAAAAAAACATATTTCAGAAAGAACAGAACGTTTCCAAACTCACTATTTATCGTCCAATAAATGTTTTAAGTAGAAGAAAAAAGTAAATTCTAACAAAATAGAAGAACATTCAAAAACTTAAATGAAAATAGCTACTAAAAACTTGTTTTTATATCGTGGAAGTTCTTTGTTGATTTTTTCGTAAAGGCTTTCATCTATTCTTGAACTTCTGTTTGACAGACTCAGTCATTCACTCTAAAAGAAAGACTGAATATAGCACAAAGAAGAAAAGTATTGAGGTGTTCAATTAATATAGAAAGGGAGAAAGCTTGCTGTGTTTAGCAATGTTTATGCCTTAACTCTTCCATATTATTTAAAAGAGAAGATTTCTGAGTTGTCACATACATTACGGATATGTCTTTTTCGAACTCACCAAAACATTTTTATCATCTGTTGATATACTCAGCGATCGTAATACAGCTTTTGGGATATCTGGAAAAGAACAATTACATATTCAAATATTGACGAAAGCTTTAAGAAACAATCATTGTCAACCTTGAAAACTATATCGTTTTTAGCTGCTGAGAACATCTTGAAACAAGGTCAGAAAATGAGAAACGACAAAGTTGTACGGAAAATACTGAGAGAGCCATTAATTTTGAGACACATACTTGCGATAAAACTCGATTTGAGACATACTACGCATGTCTTGAGTCAACATTAGAATAGAAAAATATCATCGATTTTCTTAAGACTAAAAGCGTTTAAGAATTTTATTGATTAGTGCAAATTAAGTTAAAATAGGTGTGTTTCAGTTCGATATGACGTTGTTGAACACTGACAATTTTATTTTCGGAGTTTATACAGTTTGCATCGAATAAGACGATAAAGCATTTCAGCGATTTCCATCAACGATAGAAAACTTATACCAATCCATAAACCTGTTTGACCACCAACATTTGACAAAAGATCTACGGGACCGATCGATGCTGTATCAGTGAGTATCTCCATTCGAGCAGATTCGCTGACTACCTCTAATGCAACGTAATTTTGAGAGATTTCGGATTGCCACGTATTTGACCAGTTAGCAGGCAATGGTACGGAAAGCGATTCAATTTTAGGCTTAAGATCGTCCAGAAGCCATTGCATCGGAGCTAAGAGGGACGATATTTTTGTTAGAAAATTGGTAGTTGTACATTCAAGCGCGCACATTGGACAATTTTGTTGCCATATGTCGTAGTCATTGTTTATGCGATCAAGCTCTTTTTTATAACATGTACTACCTTTACTGCATATTGGTGCAATTATTATCTTATCGGTGCCTGGTACAGCAAGGTACCGAGTCGTCCATTCATTCGGATCAATGCAACCGCATTTCGTGTAACTAGAAAACAAAAGAGTACAAAGATACACTTCAGATTATCATAGTATGCTACAAGCAATTGTATTTCATCGACTACTATTGGGCTTCATGATTCAATAGTAAACATTCTGTTTTGCTTTTTATAAGAGCTTTTTTTAATTAGAAGATAAAGAAACTTACATATATACTTGTATACAGACGATCGCACATATGTATTGTTCGTAAATGTAACTGGCGTTACCAAAATGATCAAATGCAACTTGCAACATAAACGGAACTTTTGTATCACAATCAGAATAAGGCTTCGCCAGACGATACTGTGTTCTTCTACTAAAAAGTATTCGTTGTCGTCGTCCTGGCATGAGATAGTGTCCTTTCCAATGCATTAGAGGAATTTGTTCATTATCATGAATTTGAACGAGAAGTCCGATAGCTAAAATAAATGAGTTAGAAAAAGGAAAACAACAACAAATTTGATATTATGCGTAAAAATACATCTCTGAACATACCAGAGGACCAGTACGGAACGTACTGTTGACTATGAACGTATAACTCAAGTTCTAAAACTCCCCAATCTCCATTTTCAGCTAAGCCATATAAAGTACCATTTCGAATATGATTCGCTTTGGCATTAAACGTATAACAGTTGCCATAGCGTGCATCTGAGAAGGAGATGAAGTCTTCTTTGTAGCAATTTAATTGATTAAATTTACACTTAATCAGCATATTTTCCAACGTGAAAAAGTAACCATTCATTGATTCATTCCTGTTCAGTTTGTAATGAAAAAAATCTTCAATTTGCATGAATTGTTTTTCCGTTAATGTATAATTAGTTGTGTTGGTAAGATTTAGACCATCGGTATACTTCAAAAAATCCTTGATGAACAGATCGTATCGAAGTGGAGAATAATTACAAATTGAAACGGCTGGAAATTTTTGAGTCGAATCATCTATGACCGAAACTAATGTCTGAGTGGGGTATTCCAAGAAATTTAGAATCGATTCTGTGATAAAATAAGCCATAACACCAGTAAAAGTAAGTGTAGATATCGTCCAAAATATTCGATTCGGTAGGCTCTGACTACGTGCAATACCTGGAATACCGTGAGTCGATGTATTCAAACTGAATTCTCGAATGATCGATCTTGCACGTCGACGTGAACGGTCAGTTTTATACGCATTCGCATCCACTGGACTCACCATCAGGATATTATTATTTGTAGGACTAGTCATATTTGCAGATTTCGTTTTTTACAATAGAAATTGTTTTATTATTGACAATATGTAGAGATACGTATTTAAAAATGAATCCGTACATAAAATGTATCTCCATATTTTATTTGTGCATGTCTATTTGCAAAAGAAAATTGTGTTTCAGGATTTTATAGAATAGAATAAATATTATGTCTGCAAACAAAAAGCACAAAATTAATCGGCTGATGTCAAAAAAAAAATATCATACTTTCACAGCATTAACTTCAAGTGTAGTAGAAATTAATGTTGAAGCACACATCGAATTTGATAGTTGTCATATTTCGAAGACTTTTTGTTCCAGTATTTTTGTTGAATAGAATCTTTGATCATTGGTATATGTTTCTGATGAATTGTTATTTTAAGTTATTGATTTTAATTACTGACAGATTCTAGTTATTTGAAATTTATTCTCCGCTTTTGAATAAAGAAAATGCATACACCATTTCATGATACTACTTCTAGCTTACTTGGTCGATTTCGTCGACAAGCATCCTCCGATTTATTTACGCTTAGAAAATATTGAGCAAATGAATTACTAGACAGGCATTGCAATAATCAATCATAATAATCCAACGTAAATATTGGAGCCAGTCAAGGTCGGATGTGGGTGTAGCCTTTCGATCTTATGGTAAGCAACACCTATACCCACTTCCTGCCATTTTAGCAGTACGATCATTAAGAAAAGCATCAATACATTAATTTAATCCATCCGAAATAATAATATGACCAATAAACATAAGTTCTTCACGTTTATGAGCCGAATGCAATTATCGTGTTTCACATTTTAATCCCATATGAATTACTGTGAACTCCTTTTTTTGTACTCTACTCTACAACTATATAACGCTCTGTTTTTAAATCTTTCTTTTAAAAGAGATCCTTTTACTAATACTTTCTTGTACTGTGTTGAGTACAGCTAGTTGAATTTTTTTATGGCTACCTAATGCACCTACAGCTATTTTATGTTCTCCTATAGCTACTTAATCAATCTATGTGTACTTAATGGTTTTGTATAGCTACTTAACTGATTCTATAGTTACTTAATCATCCTACAGCTACTTATTTATCCCAGAGTCACGAAATGTTTTCCTATAGCTACTCAATTGAGCTAGAGCTACCTAAATTTTTCTTGGCTGTTTAGACATCCGCCAGGTATCCAAAGCTTAGTGTAAGTTTTTCATCATTTAGCAGCTTCTGGTAGATTGGATATGTCCCAAAAGAGTGGTATAGCTATAGAAGTTAACAAAGAGGTAATGAAGACCAGACAGTAATCTAAATATATGCATTTTGTGCATTGTTTTGATAATACTTCATGAGAAAGTTTATTCAAGAGAGGTCCAAGTCAAGGGTAGGTTATTAAATTCATGACCATTTACAATGAATCGTAAATACTCATTTGTATGTGTCTACCAAAACTGCTATTGTATTATGTTGATGATGTGAGCCTTTTCTTGGACAGAACCGATAGTTTCCTGCAATGTTAAAGAATAGCTAGTTTTTATTGTAAGTACCGCCAACACATGATTGAATAAAGCC